CCCACCGCCGGTCCACCCGAACAAACGAGCGACGTCGCCGTCCATCAAGCGGCTCGCGGGGGGATCGACCGATTGACCGCCAAGGGTCTCGCTCGTTCCAAGCGACCGAGCCCGGCCCGGGCCCGCCGACCAGAGCGAGCGTCCGACCAACGGCTGATTTGTGATCGACGGATCGGTCGATGATGTGGTCCGCGGGGGGTTTTGCCTCTTTGGCTTTTTCTCCGCCATCGCTGGACATTGTCTGTGATCGGGCCGGCAAAGGAGATTGATTGACCGTCACCAAAGATGGAAAATAGCAAGCCTGCGATCGCCTGGAGATGATTGCTAGACAAAAGCGAAAAAAAAAAAGGAGTGGCAAAGAAGAAGCCAAGACGCTGCTGTGATGGGTTGACGGGAGGACGGCCCGCTCCCAGCTCAGCGCGTGTCCGGGAAGAGCTCTTGCCAAAGTTCTTTTGTGAACAAACCCGGACCGAGGCGAAACGAGGCCGACGAAGACCAAATCGGGGACGGCGAGCAGTTGGCAAAGAAAAGCAAAGGCGGGAGAACCAAAATAGCCAACAATTCCAAGATTCCGATCAAAACGTGAGCCGAAATGTTTGCTTTTCTGTTTGTCCGCCCATCCCCATTCACGCATGGTTTTCAGAAATGAAAGAGGAGTACGAGTACCGAAGCGGACCGGGTTCAGATGTCAGGAAGTGGGATGGCGCCGACTCTGGGGGAACGTCACAATTGTACCGTTGTTGAAGCCTTCAAAAATGTTGAAATCGCAATTTGGCGGTCGGGGGGTGTACGTCTGCCCTGCGGTGGGCTGGCAAAGTGCAGGGCACACACACAGAGACCAGCTTGGGGACAATTTGGAGCGTTGAGCATTTTCTGGGTGGGGGTGTATTACCGTGGCAGAGAAGGGGGAGGGAGGAGAGCGCCCAAAAGGCCACGACCCGGAATTGAACCTCCTACCCGTTTGTAGCCTTTTGTTCTTCCGCCTCCCTCGATGGACTCGCCGAGTCTTTCTTTGGCTTCGACGTGGCGGCGACGGATGCGAGCGACCTTTCTGATGTGCGGCCGCGCGCGCTTGTTCGCGATTGGCTGCGCGCGTGAAATGCGCTCGTTTTGCAAGTCTCTTGGGGAGCCTTGGGGGGGGGGGTTGCGGTCGCATCCACGTTGCACGCATCGAAAATGCTCACACCGGCTGCGACCTGCATGATAACGATGGGTGTGCGCATATTGTCGCGGTCGGACCCCTCCCCCTCCCCCCTCGCCCGCGTTAGCCAAACGCACGTTCTCGCCGGCCCTCCTCCTCCCGCCCGCCTTCCCTGTGACGCACGCGGCCACGCGCAGCTTCCCGTCTTCTTTTCTTCCCGCGGAGACGCGTGCGGTCGCGGAGGCCGGCCCCGCTCCCCAAAAGGTGAGCCGCTCGACTTTTGTCATCGGGACGCGGCCTGCAACTTTCCTCCGCCCGTCCGTCGCCGCGCCGCGCATCCCTCGAGATACGCCGCCTTTCACAATCGGTGGCGTCGCGCGACTCCTTGCACGCTTGGTTTCAATCGCCGCTGAGCTCTTTCTTGCCATTTTTTCAGCCGCTTCTGTGCCGCCTCTTCTTTGAGTTGCAAACATTTCATTTGGACTCGCTTCCTTTTCGCATTCATCTATTTGTGCGCGCAGATTTTGTTTTGGATCACGAGCTATTTTTCTCATTGGATCGATTGGCTTTCTCATTTTCTTCTTCTGACTTATGATTTTCAGTTTTTCAAATTTGGATTTTGATTTCTTTGGATTTTTGGCAACGCTCAAAATTGTGCCCGGGTGTGATTGTGAGCGCGAATGTGTTTGTCTCTGTGCGACTGGCCGCCACCCCCCGGTTGAGGGTGTGCCCCGCCTATTGCCCGAAGACAGCTGGAAGAGGCTCCGGCGAGCCCGCGACCCTCCTCAAGTGAAGCCGACGAGAAAATGGAGGGATGGCGGGATTTTTGAAAAAAAATATTGCATTTCATTTAGGACCATTTTTTGATGGGGGCAAATACTAATTGATGTCTCTTTTCCTCCTTTTTTGCATTGTGGAAGTCACCCAGCATCGCTTGCGTGCAGCCCTGCCATCATCTTCATCTGTCCACACAGTGGGCTCATTGTGTGCCCGGGCCACTGATGAGCATAGCCCAACACCCCCACTTTTTTCTTCTTTTTTGGGGGGCGGGGTGGGGGGGGGGGCGCCCTTTTGTCTTCAGACAGCGTCCAGAACTGTGGCAAATACTGTTGAACACGACAGACGGGCATTTCTGCGAGTTGTCTGGCTCAACAAGCCATTGGAACGCGGAGAGGCGACAGAAAGGAAGCCACGCGTCAAAGTCGCTTCCAAAGCGCCGAGAGGCTCAGCAAACGGGACGGATGATGAAGGAAGAGGAGACGCTCTGGGCTCACCTCGAAAGAAACGAAACGCGCTCTCAGGACGCGCGAGTCAGGCAGGCGACAGACAAAAGGGCCGTCGCGTGCACGCTCCAGATTCGATCCACGTCGTATCCTTTTGCGAAGCGCCTTCCTATCAAGGGCCAAGCGGCTCGCTTATTTTTGTGCGTTCCGAGCATTTGTGGGAGATTTTCCCGGGGGCCGAGCAGGTTGGAAATCGGAACGTGAAATTTGGCAGTGGGAGAGCCCCCCAGAAGTCTGAAGAGCCCCGTGCCGAGCCAAAGGCATCGTTTGGCTTTCGGGCAGCCATCTTTGGGTCCATTCAGGGCTCCTGTCAAAAGCAACTTGTCACGGAGATTTTGTCAAGCTGCCGATCGGCACGCCCGCTCAAAGTTGATTGCCAAAAGCTCAATGTGAAAGAGAGCACATGTACGTTTCGGGATCCCTCTTTCTTTTGGGTTTGCGAAGGGCCTCATTGAGGCAAACACTCCCAGTGGGTCGCGTTATCTCCCGTGCAGCTGACATCCCGCTCTTTGATGAATACATCGGCGACAGCGGAGGCGGGAATTTCCTGACTTCTTCAGGATGTGGCATGAGTCAATGGCTGCCTCAGGTCCCGATGAATGGCTTGATCTTGCAGGAAACGGTTTTCCAGCCCGGGGGAGGGGGCGAGGGGGGGTGATCAGGAGCGGCGGCTCCAGCGCGGGGGATCTGCGCGAGCTCGGTTGAGAATGGCAACGGACAACTTGAACACCGTGAAACTTGGACGGGGACCCCAAGTCCACTCATCGAGTCCCACCGCAGTAAAAAGAAAGTCCGCATTGCGGTACTCGGGCACCCTTGTGGAAAGAGACAGACAGGGGCTCCGCTGTGTCTTTTTTATGGGGGCAACTTTTTTGCGCGTCTCCAACTTGGACGTCTTTTCCAACGGCGATCCGAACCGGTGTCTTCCGTCATCAAGCGCGTGAAAAAAATGCCAGCGCGTCCACCGCCTTGCAGCGCAGAGGTGCGGGATTCGCTTCCGGCCCGAGTTCTCCCCGCGCCGGCGCGGCTTTCCTCCCCCGTTCCAAAAAGACGCACGCGGCAGGTTGACGGAAGGCTCTAAAAAAGCGGCTGCGATCGAGAGCGCGGACGGCCGTTAGTCTCCGCGTGCCCTGCCACGGGCTGGCGACCCGTTCGGGGTGTCCCCGCCTGCTGCCCAAAATGGACTCCGGCCCCCCGCGACTCTGGTGAGGAGCAACAGTTCGCATGGCTGCGCCAGCTCATCTCTCATACGAGCATGAAATGTCATTTGGCAAATGTTGGGACTTCCCCCGGGCGAGCGCATTCGCAGAGACGAGCAAAGAGCTCGCTCGTTCGCCTTCCAGCTAAAACGTCGTACCGTCGTACCTTTCCCCGTGGTGGCCACGCATCTATCGATATCGATCAATCAGTCCATCTGCAGATGCATTTGACTGCAAAAAAGAAATGAGCAAAGAGATTCTTGCTGTGAGTAAATCCCCGCGCACGGAGCAGAGTGCGGCATTGCTGCTTCCTTCGAATCGGCTTTCGGTGCTGCGGTCAAGAAGGTTCCGTTGCTTGAGAGACGATGCGGCCGTCCGTCCATCGCCTGCCTTCATCCGTGCATCGGTCCATCCATCCGCTGAGCTCCAAGCGCAGCCCCCGACAGCGATCACACTGATCGGCACTCGCAAAGTGAACAGGAAGCGGGCTCATTTGGATGGCAGGGCCAATGGGAAGCGGGTTTCCCGGCGGCACGTGCGACGCAAAACGGCCAAGCTTTTCTGTCGCCTCGGCCTACCGATGTGGGCGGAGTCGAGCGTCCCAGTCGGGCGCTCATTGGCGGGAACGGCCACGAAAGAGGCGGCGTTCTGTGGAATCCTCCGTTTCAGCGTGCTGCGCTTTTCCGGTCAATGAAATGCGCTTCCTTCTCCAGGTTGAAAATGAGCCTGCAAGCGCACAACTTGACGCTTTTCAACACTTCGCGGGAGGAGGAGGAGGCGGCGGAGGAGGACGTCCTCGGCGCCGGGAACAAGGTGACCTACGTGGGCTTCTACCTGCACCGCCCGTCCACGGCGGCCGTCTTCGTCGTGTCCTACCTGCTCATCTTCCTGGTGTGCCTGGCGGGCAACGGCGTGGTGTGTTTCATCGTGCTGCGCGGCCGCAACATGCGCAGCGTCACCAACGTGTTCATCCTCAACCTCGCCGTGAGCGACCTCCTGGTGGGCATTTTCTGCATGCCGACCACACTGCTCGATAACATTATCACAGGTAAATATTCCCTTTGCTCACCTTGACGTGCTTGTCCGTTGTGGAACCGTGAGTCACATTGTTCTGTGGGCTGAGGAGGAATGAGATGATGAGCAATCGACTGTATTTTGGGGTTGAGTCTACAAATGGGAGTAAATAGGAATTAACTTCAACGTTAGAACATAACATTGGGAATATTCCTGGATGCAACCGAGGAATCGGATCACAACGGCAGCGTAATGGCACCATCTAGGGGCCACAAGAATTAATGACGCTCGCATTTGATGAAATGAGGGCCGACCGACACACGTTTGGAAACAAAATACACACGCTCGTCTTCAGAACGGGAAGGAGCTACGGTCGTCGTACCGTGAACACATCTCAACGTAAAATGACACACAGTGCCACCATAATATCAAGTTCATCGCACGAACCGCGGCGGCCCGATGCTAACGGGCTAATGTGGCTAACTTGCTCACGAACCCGAGTCGCAACTCATTAAATAGGACAAGTAAGCCTCGTTGTACTTACGTTTTGTCATGAACTCGGTGGCTTAGGGGATGACCGATGAAGTAAGTGGCACGAAGGAGGTTTACAGGACAGGACAGAGGCTGATTCGAACAGAACGGAACGGAATGACCTTGAGCAGGAAGCAAAGCCGGAAACTGGCGGGTGCTGTCATCACGCGATATCTCAACGCGAGAAGGTGGATGTCTCGCGGGAACTCAAGGAGCGGCCTGAGCCTTTGCTCCAATTTGACAGCCGTGAAACTCGCCCGAGAGACGTTTTGCGTCCCCCAAAAGAGAGCCAAGATGTCACGTTTAAAATGTGCTTCTCGGGCAAAAAAAAACATTTGATTTCTTGTTTTGATTTTGCTGCTCAAAGTCCCAATCTTGGGCACAAAGTGCACATGGCCTTGTGTGCGTCCGTTTGACGCTGGCACACTTGCACGGGTGTGAGATCTGCAGCTGCAAAATCAAGTATCTGCGGTGTGACCAATCAAAGTGGGCGGGATGTCAAATCTCGGAGGCCAGAGTCCGGCGCTCGGGCCTCGGGAGCTTGTCGCCGCCGTGTCGAAACAGCTGTCTGGTGCTTCCTGTGCGCAGGGTGGCCCTTTGGAAGCCTGGTGTGCAAACTGAGCGGCACGGTGCAAGGCATCTCCGTGTCGGCGTCCGTCTTCACCCTGGTGGCGATCGCCGTGGACAGGTACGCTACCTCCTTCGTCCGTGCTTTTTCGATTGGCAGAAAACAGCGCCGGCGCTTCTCGCGGTTGGAGTCGCAAAGGCCGGCGGGTGATGTGACGGTCGCCCGTTGCCTTGAGGATGCTAACCAGAGCGCATCCTCAAGCGCGGAGTGTCCGCGGTCTGGGGACCTGGCTTTTATTGTCAATGACGCGACGCGCCCGCGTCCGATATCGGACCGTCACCGCGCCAGCGGTCTGTTGGTGACGTTTCGCTTCCGGCGGCCCGCGTTTGACCCCGGTACGGCAATCCCGAAGTTTGAGGGGCCCGCTCGGGGCGAGACGCCGGCCCCCGACGCACGCCGACAACACGGCGCGGAACAGCGCGGAAGGCAGATGTCCAAAACGAAGCGTATTGCGCCGCGTCGGACCGGGTCGCTCACTCCGTCTCCACGCCTCCCTCGGCAGATTCCGATGCATCGTCTACCCGTTCAAGCAGAAGCTGAGCATCTCCGCCGCCGCCCTGATCATCGTCACGATCTGGGTCCTGGCCATATCCATCATGTGTCCGTCGGGCGTGATGCTCCAGGTGACGCGGGAGCAAAGCGTCCGGGTGCTGCTGGGCTACGACAACAAAACGGCGCCTTTCTACTGGTGCCGGGAGAACTGGCCCAACCGGGAGATGCGGCGCATTTACACCACAGTGTTGTTCGCCAACATCTACCTGGCCCCGCTGTCGCTCATCGTCGTCATGTACGCGCGCATCGGCATCGCGCTCTTCAAGACCTCCGCGCCCGGGGGCGGCGAGTCGGGCCGCGGCGGCGTCTCCAAGAAGAAGCGGCGGGTGATCAAGATGCTGCTGGTGGTGGCCTCGCTCTTCATCCTGTCCTGGCTGCCCCTGTGGACCCTCATGATGCTGAGCGACTACGCCCGGCTCACGCCGCGGCAGCAGCGAATCGTCAACATCTACGTGTACCCCTTGGCCCACTGGCTGGCCTTTTTCAACAGCAGCGTCAACCCCATCATCTACGGATTCTTCAACGAGAACTTCCGGCGAGGGTTTCGGGCGGCCTTCAAGTTGGGCCCGTGCGCGGCCGACGGCCGGCGGAGGAAAAGGTACTCGCAGCGGCCGCGGCCCAACTCGGTGCTGCCGGCCGATAACGCGCGCGCCTCCCCGGATCCCGTCTCGCTGAACAGCCCGGACCCGAGCGGCTGCGGGCGGACGCGGCGGCTGGCGGAGCAGGACCTGGTCTTGGAGGACTTGGAGAAGGGGTCCTGCAGTAGCGGCGCCGTAACGGCCGTGTCGATTTGAGCCGCCGCTTCCCCGCCGACGGCTTTTCGCGCTTTTCCGTCACGACTTCTCCAGGAAACGAGGCCTCGTCGCCGAGCTTCACCGTGCCGCCCCCCAAAAAATTTCCGCGTCCATTTCTAAAGACCAATCATCAAGCGGT